GCGGATGAAGGGCAGCAGGAACACCTTGTTGTTGATGAGCTGGGCGAAGAGCTTCAGGGCCTTCTCCACGTGCTGCTGCCCGTTGCCCTGCACCTGGGACGGGTGTGATGGGCGTGGCTTCAGAGGATGAGCTTCCGGCTCTCCGGGAGGGTGTTAGCTGATGATGATGCCAGCTATAGGACCCTCTCCATGATGCCTGTAACCGCCCCACCCTCGGTGATGTAGGAATAACTGGTCTCTGAGGTCTGCAGTCTGCTCTGACTTCCCCCTGGGTTGAGAGGGTTGGGCTCCAGGTAGAGACCTCAGAGAGGATGCTATTCATCTGATTTTCCCAAGGATGCAACACAACAGGAGATACCGCAGCAGACTAGCTTGGTTTACTAGTCTCCCCTTAATCTCCCCTGCCCTGATTTATTATCTTTAGTAAAACAAACTGAGAAATGAAAAAACAAACCTCACAGAATCATAGGTCTTTCCTTAAGCCAGCTTAAATCCATTCGGAAATGAGGCAGAATCTTAGTTAATTAATTCAGTCATTAATTAAAAAATGACAAACAATCAGCTTTCCCCTGGAATCATCCCAAAGAGCCTGGGTGCCCCCCCTGGCTGTGATTTTCCTGGTTGGAAATATCCCCGTTGCGGTGATGCTTCTGCAAAAGCTATTTCTCCTCCTCGCTCCTGACCTTCTTCTGAGCACTGGGCCCCACTGGCATTTCCTAGGAAACCCGGGCCCCACGTCCCTGCTGGGCAGCTGGGCGAGGGAGGCGGGTGTTACCTCCAGCTCACGCAGGACGGGATGGTCCTCAATGCCGGGGAACAGGACTCGCATAGCATAGGTCCGATAGTCCAGGTAGGGGATTCCTGAGCGGTCCAGGTCACTGGTCAGCTCGTTGATGTCTGTCTGGAGCTCGGCAAAAGCTATGAAAGTGCAGTGGAGACAGGGAAGCTCAGGAGGGGAATGCAGGCCGGGGAGGGGAAAGGCAGGAGAAGTTCGTGGAGGAGGGAAGGGCCAGGTTGTAGAGACAGGGAGGGTTATAGGGGTGCGTCTCCAGGGGCGATAAGATATCTCCAGTCTGCCTTTCTTAGGTGGTGGGACTATGGGTGATTTTTATATTATTTCCTCCTCTAAGCTTACCTATAATTTTGAATTTTCTTTCTATGTATTATAAGTGTGGTTAAAACAAAGGAAGCCCACGACTTCGGTCATGCAGGTGATACAGGTGCTAGAAGCAGGTGAGAGGCAGTGGTCGAACAGATCAAACAAAGACCAGAATAGGTAGCTTTGCTCCCCTTTTCCAAGCAAAAGAATAAACCAAGATGCAAAAACCTTGGGGGAAAATGAAAATCAAAACCACCGTGAGATACCACTTCATACCCATTAGGATGGCTGTTATAAAAAAAGTGGAAAATAACATGTGTTGGCTAGGATGTGGAAAAACTGGAACCCTCATATCTTGCTGGAGGGAATGTAAAGTGGTACAGCTGCTCTGGAAACCAGTTTGGTGATTCCTCCAAAAATTAAACATAGAATTACCAAATGACCCAGCAATTCCTCTCCTACATATATACCCAGAAGAACTGAAAGCAGGGACTTGAACAGATGCTTGTACCCTCACGTTCACAGCAGCATTATTCATGGTACCGAAAGGTGGAAACAACCCAAATGTCCATTGACAGATAAACTGATAAGTAAAACGTGGTTTATATACCCAATGGACTATTATTTAGCCTTAAAAAGGAATGAAGTTCTCTCAAATACTACAACATGGATGAACCTTAAAGACATGATGCTAAGTGAAATAAACCAAACACAAAGGGACAAATACTGTGTGATGCTGTTTATATGAGTGTCCTAGAGTAGTCAAATTCATAGAGACAGAAAGTGGGAGAGGAGGATGAGGGATTATTGTTTCATGAGTACAGAGTTTCAGTTGGGGAAAATGTGGAAGTTCTGGAGATGGATGGTGGTGATGGTCACATGATATTGTGAATGTACTTAACGCCTCTGAACTGGAGGAGGGGAGAGCACTAGCGTGCAGAGATAAGAAAGTTAAATTTTATGTTATATATATTTAACACACTCACACACAGACGAAACTGAGAACACCACCAAACCCAGACTTAGGGAGCCCTGACCACCAGGCCCTTGGCCAAACAGGGGCTTCCCCTTGGTGGCAGACCTGTCTCCTGACACCCTCCTTGCTCCTCCCCAGCCCTGGCGCTGGGAGGAGCCTGGCCCACTTTGCCCCAGCCCAGCTCTTCCCTTTCATCCAGCAGAGGGCTTGTTCTGATCTTGAAGTCTGCAGCAAAAGAAGTCTTTTGATTCCTAATTGAGATGTTTACCCAGGGAGTCTTCCAGGTCCTCAGCCCAAGGGGACACCAGGTAGCTGCGGTTGCTTGGGAGACAGAAGAAACACTGTCTCCACCACCACAGCCTAGGATGCCCTGTAAGTGGCCTTCAGAGGCTCAGCCTGCAGTACTGGCTGAAGACACAATGTTGGGGAGGGGAGGGGGTGGAAGGGAGGGCATGTGCTCTCACCTTTCCTGCTGCTCCAAGGCAGCCAGGCAAAAGGAGCTGTCACCCCTAAGTGGGGATCTAGAGTCTGAGGCAGCAGGGCCCAGGAGGCTCTGACTGTGGGGAGACTGAGGTCCCAGGAAGGAGAGTATGCTGGCCCAGACTGTGGGATGAGTCAGGGCACAGGGGGACAGAATAATGGGATCAGGTCTGGGGCCTTACTGTAGGCATTTTAAGGGCAAAGGAAGTTTAAGAGAAAACAGAGGTCAAAGTGGAGCAGGATGGCTTGTGGTAGAAGAGATGGGAGCAAAGATGAGAGCTGTTTTAGGGAGGGGGGGGGTAATAAGGCTGGTGAGGAAAGAGGGTCCCGGAAGCGAGGGCTGCCTTCACTTACCTTCCTTACACTCCAGGGCCACACGGGACTCCAGGTTGTCCATCTGCATTTGGAGCCGCTTGAGAGTAAGGTCATTTTCTCGAGACTTGCGCTTGTAGGCGATGAGCACAATGATGACGATGATGAGCAGTAGGCTGCCACCCGCCGCGATGCTGACGATGGCTGGCAGGGTCAGCAAGCTGTCTGAGATGACACTCACCGAGCCGGGCGAGAATACCATGCCACCCACGTGGACCTGTGCATGGCACACACAACAGTCACTGTAGAGCCCTGGCATCCAATCCTTCTCAATTCAGAAAGGGCATGAGAGACCACAACCACACAGTGCAGTCTGGATACAAAACAACTTCCTGCTTATCATCTGCCTTTCTTTTCTTGTGTTCTTAGCTCCTACCCATTTTAATATAGGACTTTGTGATGAGGAGATATGGAGGAGGTTGAAGACCCTTTCTTTATGACAGATTATACATGAAAGGTGAGGAGGGGAGGAATAATTAGAGGGTTCACTCACCATGACCTTGTGCTGCCCAGTGAGGTTGGGAGGCTCGCAGAGCAGTTGCGTCTCGGACACAGTGACAGCGCATGGGGTCTCTCCAATCAGCACGGTGTAGTTGAGTTTGGCACCTCCAGAAGCAGGAGGGCAGAGGTTTTTGCCCTGTAGGTAAGAGCAATCTTAATAGGAATAATTGACACATGTGGACAGAAGTTAATTGGTTATTTAAAAAGAGATTAAGGCCAGTCCCTCGCATCAGGAAACTTCCACAAGCCTCTTAGAAAGCCTCATCCACCAGAGAGCAGACAGCAGAAGCAAGAAGAACTACAATCCTGCAGCCTGTGGAACAAAAACCACATTCACAGAAAGATAGACAAGATGAAAAGGCAGAGGGCTATGTACCAGATGAAGGAACAAGATAAAACCCCAGAAAAACAACTAAATGAAGTGGAAATAGGCAACCTTCCAGAAAAATAATTCAGAATAATGATAGTGAAGATGATCCAGGACCTCGGAAAAAGAATGGCGGCAAGGATTGAGAAGATGCAAGAAATGTTTAACAAAGACCTAGAAGAAATAAAGAAAAAACAAACAGAGATGAACAATACAATAACTGAAATGAAAACTACACTAGAAGGAATCAATAGCAGAATAACTGAGAAGGAAGAACGGATAAGTGACCTGGAAGATAGAATGGTAGAATTCTCTGCTGTGGAACAGTGAATGAAAAAGAAATGAAGAAGAATGAAAAGAATGAAGAATGAAAAGAAATGAAGACAGCCTAAGAGACCTCTGGAAAAACATTAAACGCCAACAACATTCGCATTATAGTGGTCCCAGAAGGAGAAGAGAGAGAGAAAGGACCTGAGAAAATATTAGAAGAGGTTATAGTCAAACACTTCCCTAACATGGGAAAGGAAATAGCCACCCAAGTCCAGGAAGCACAGAGAGTCCCATACAGGATAAACCCAAGGAGAAACATGCCGAGACACATAGTAATCAAACAGGCAAAAATTAAAGGCAAAGAAAAATTATTGAAAGCAGCAAGGGGAAAACGACAAATAACATACAAGGGAACTCCCAAAAGGTTAACAGCTGATATCTCAGCAGAAACTCTACAAGCCAGAAGGGAGTGGCAGGATATACTTAAAGTGATGAAAGGGAAGAACCTACAACCAAGATTACTCTAGCCAGTAAGGATCTCATTCAGATTCAATGGAGAAATCAAAAGCTTTACAGACAAGCAAAAGCTAAGAGAATTCAGCACCACCTAACCAACAAACGCTAAAGGAACTTCTCTAACTGGGAAACACAAGAGAAGAAAAGGACCTACAAAAACAAACCCAAAACAATTAAGAAAACGGTAATAGGAACATATGTATTGATAATTACCTTAAACATGAATGGATTAAATGCTCCAACCCAAAGACACAGGCTTGCTGAATGGATACAAAAAACAAGACCCATATATATGCTGTCTACAGGAGACCCACTGCAGACCTAGGGACACATACAGACTGAAAGTGAGGGGATGGAAAAAGATATTCCATGCAAATGGAAATCAAAAGAAAGCTGGAGTAGCAATAATAATATCAGATAAAATAGACTTTAAAATAAAGAATGTTACAAGTGACAAGGAAGGACACTACATAATGATCAAGGGATCAATCCAAGAAGAAGATATAACAATTATATATGCACCCAACATAAGAGCACCTCAATACATAAGGTAACTGCTAACAGCTCTAAAAGAGGAAATCGACAGTAACACAATAATAGTGGGGGACTTTAACACCTCACTCACACCAACGGACAGATCATCCAAACAGAAAATTAATAAGGAAACACAGCTTTAAATGACACAATAGACCAGATAGATTTAATTGATATTTATAGGACATTCCATTCCAAAACAGCAGATTACACTTTCTTCTCAAGTGCTCACAGATCATTCTCCAGGATACATCACATCTTGGATCACAAATCAAGCCTCAGTAAATTTAAGAGAATTGAAATCATGTCAACCATCTTTTCTGACCAAAACGCTATGAGATTAGAAATCAATTACAGGCAAAAAAAACATAAAATACACAAACACATGGAGGCTAAACAATACGTTATTAAATAACCAAGAGATCACTGAAAAAATCAAAGAGGAAATCAAAAAAATACCTAGAGGCAAATGACAATGAAAACACGATGATCCAAAACCTACGGGATGCAGCAAAAGCAGTTCTAAGCGGGAAATTTATGGCTATACAAGCCCACCTCAAGAAACAAGAAAAATCTCAAATAAACAATCTAACGTTACACCTAAAGGAACTAGAGAAAGAAGAACAAACAAAACCCAAATTTAGCAGAAGGAAAGAAATCATCAAGATAAGAGCAGAAATAAATGAAATAGAAACAAAGAAAACAATAGCAAAGATGAGTAAAAGTAAAAGCTGGTTCTTTAAGAAGATAAACAAAATTGATAAACCATTAGCCAGACACATCAAGAAAAAGAAGGAGAGGACTCAAATCAATAAAATTAGAAATGAAAAAGAAGAGGTTACAACAGACACCCCAGAAATACAAAGCATCCTGAGACTATTACAAGCAACTCTATGCCAATAAAATGGACAACCTGGAAGAAATGGACAAATTCTTAGAAAGGTATAACCTCCCAAGACTGAACCAGGAAGAAATAGGAAATATGAACAGACCAATCACAAGTAATGAAATTGAAACTGTGATTAAAAATTTTCCAACAAACAAAACAAAGTCCAGGACCAGATGGCTTCACAGGTGAATTCTGTCAAACATTTAGAGAAGAGCTAACACCCATCGTTCTCAAAGTCTTCCAAAAAATTGCAGAGGAAGGAACACTCCCAAACTCATTCTATGAGGCCACCATCACCCTGATACCAAAACCAGACAAAGATACTACAAAAAAAGAAAATTACAGACCAATATCACTGATGAATATAGATGCAAAAATCCTCAACAAAATGCTAGCAAACAGAATCCAACAACGCATTAAAAGGATCATAAACCATGATCAAGTGGGATTTATCCCAGAGATGCAAGGATTCTTCAATATACACAAATCAGTGAATGTGATACACCATATTAACAAATTGAAGAATAAAAGCCATATGATCATCTCAAAAGATGCAGAAAAAGCTTTTGACAAAATTCAACACCGATTTATGATAAAAACTCTCCAGAAAGTGGGCATAGAGGGAACCTACTTCAACATAATAAAGGCCATATATGACAAACCCACAGCAAACATCATTCTCAATGGTGAAAAACTGAAAGCATTTCCTCTAGGATCAGGAACAAGACACGGATGTCCACTCTTACCACTATTATTCCACATAGTTTTGGAAGTCCTAGCCACAGCAATCAGAGAAGAAAAAGAAATAAAAGGAATACAAATTGGAAAAGAAGAAGTAAAACTGTCACTGTTTGCAGATGACATGATAATATACATAGAGAATCCTAAAGATGCCGTCAGAAAACTACTAGACCTAGTCAATGAATTTGGTAATGTTGCAGGATGTAAAATTAATGCACAGAAATCTCTTGCATTCCTATACACTAATGATGAAAAATCTGAAAGAGAAATTAAGGAAAGTCTCCTATTTACTGTTGCAACAAAAAGAATAAAATAGCTAGGAATAAACCTACCTAGGGAGACGAAAGACCTGCATGCAGAAAACTATAAGACACTAATGAAAGAAATTAAAGATGATATCAACAGATGGAGAGATATACCATGTTCTTGGATTGGAAGAATCAATATTGTGAAAATGACTATACTACCCAAAGCAATCTACAGATTCAATGTAATCCCTATCAAGTTACCAATGGCATTTTTTACAGAAATAGAACAAAATGCCTTAAAATTTGTATGGAGACACAAAAGACCCCGAGTAGTCAAAGCAGTCTTGAGAGAAAAAAACGGAGCTGGAGGAATCGGACTCCCTGACTTCAGACTATACTACAAAGCTACAGTTATCAAGACAATATTGTACTGGCACAAAAACAGAAATATAGATCAATGGAACAGGATAGAAAGCCCAGAGATAAACCCACCCACCTATGGTCAACTATTCTATGACAAAGGAGGCAAGGATATACAATGGAGAAAAGACAGTCTCTTCAATAAGTGGTGCTGGGAAAACTGGACAGCTACATGTAAAAGAATGATATTAGAACACTCCCTAACACCAAACACAAAAATAAACTCAAAATGGATTACACATCTAAATGTAAGACCAGGCACTACAAAACTCGTAGAGGAAAACATAGGAAGAACACTCTTTGACATAAATCACAGCAACATATTTTTTGATCCACCTCCTAGAGTAATGGAAATAAAAACAAAAATAAACAACTGGGACCTAATGAAACTTAGAAGCTTTTGCACAGCAAAGGAAACCATAAACAAGATGAAAATGGGAAAATTCTCCCTCAGAATGGGAGAAAATATTTGCAAACAAATCATCGGACAAAGGATTAATCTCCAAAATATATAAATAGCTCATGCATCTCAATATTAAAAAAATAAACAACACAATCCAAAAATGGGCAGAAGACCTAAATAGACATTTCTCCAAAGAAGACACATAGATGGCCAAGAAGCACATGAAAAGCTGCTCAACATCACTAATTAATAGAGAAATGCAAATCAAAACTACAGTGAGGTATCACTTCACACCAGTTAGAATGGGCATCATCAGAAAATCTACAAACAAAAAATCCTGGAGAGGGTGTGGAGAAAAGGGAACCCTCTTGCACTGTTGGAGGGAATGTAAATTGATACAGCCACTATGGAGAACAGTATGGAGGTTCCTTAGAGAACTAAAAATAGAATTACCATATGACCCAGCAATCCCACTAGCGGGCATATACCCAGAGAAAACCATAGTTCAAAAAGACACATGCACCCCAATGTTCAATGCAGCACTATTTACAATAGCCAGGTCATGGAAGCAACCTAAATGCCCATCAACAGATGAATGGATAAAGAAAATGTGGCACATATATACAATGGAATATTACTCAGCCATAAAAAGGAACAAAATTGGGTCATTTGTAGGGACGTGGATAGATCTAGAGACTGTCATACAGAGTGAAGTAAGTCAGAAAGAGGAAAACAAATATCGTATATTAACGCATATATGTGGAACCCAGAAAGTGGTACAGATGAACCGGTTTGCCGAGCAGAAATTGAGACACAGAAGTAGAGAAAAAACAGATGGACACCAAGGGGGGAAAGCGGTGGGGTGGTGGTGGTGGTGGTGTGCTGAATTGGGAGATTGGGATTGACATTTATTCATTGATGTGTATAAAATGGATGACTAATAAGAAAAAAAATTTGATAGTGGAATGGACTTGGAATCTTTCATCACCTAACACGGTTCCTTGAACTTTGTAGGTGTCTAAAATAATATTCAATAATTCTTTGCCAGCTCTTGATGTTAATGAACTAAATAAGGCTTTTGTCTTAGCTTTCTTAATAAGTTATAACACAGAGAAAAGTGCGTAAGTCATAAGTTTAACTATAAACTTATGACTTATGTGAGTTATCTGAACTCCCATTAGTATTACCACTACTCAGATCAAGAAACAGAATTTTCCCAGGATCTCGGAAGCCTTCCTTATACCATTTCCTCGTCATGACCCCTGCTTTCTGCCCCCAAAGTAACCATTATCTTCACCATAAATTTGTTTTGCCCAGTTTTGAAATTTTTAAAAAGAAACCATACGATGTATATCATTTTATGTCTGCCTTGTTTTGCTGAATATTGCTCATGAGTTTTATTTGTTGTTGCCTGTAGCAATGCTTACTTATTTTTATTGTCTTCTATATTTTATTATATAAATGCAAAATATATTCTAATGTTGATGAACAAAATAAATAAATAAAAATAAAAAGAGATTAAAGAGGCGGGGTAAGGGCAGCAATGCAAAAACCAATGAGTGACTCCATGGTAAGTTTTTGGAGAGGTCTTCTAACAGCCACAATTTAGACAGAATAAGAGAAAACAAATGGAAGAGAGAATGAAAGGGAGGAAGAGAGTGGTAAAGAGAAAGGAAGGCGAGACCAAACAGTAAACAAGTGAAAGTTTGGGGGAGGATGCAGGGGATAGAAGTGAAAGTGGTAGAGTAACACACACCTGGAAGGATGGTACCAGGGGACCATGACCTCTTCACATTTGAGGGCAGTTACTGAGGCCACGGGTGGGATCAATAAAGGACATCGTTGCTTCCAGTGCACTGCAGGACTTTTAGGTCCCAAAGCTCACAAGGACACACAGAAATACTCTACGGTGTTCCTTGAGAATCCCAAGTGCAAGATATGTCACTCAATGGGTCGATATGTATAACCAAGCTCCCTTCACAGGGAGATGACAGCCATGTGAGCCCGTGTGCATCGAAGGGAGGCCAGGCCAGGAGAGGGGTGCTCCGGCCACCCCTGCGCATGGCAGGCAGCCATCCCACCCTCCTACCTTCAGAATGATGGGGGATCCCGGCTTTTGATCCAAGACCCCAGTGGGGCTGAGCAGTTCAAAGGTCGGGTTGGGGTAGTAGATGAACTTGGTGTCGTTGTAAATCAGCAAGGACTGGACATTGTTAAAGACAAATCCAAACTCGTCCGGCCGTTCCACGGTGTCCAGGCCGGGCCGGTAGTCCGTGGTCAGGGAGGGTGCCAGGCAGGTCAGGGTGGTGGTGTTCACAACTTTGCACACCTAAAGGGCCCAAGAGCACGGTGTTCAAACACCCAGCAGGTGATGGTGGGGGTCACACTGTCACCCTCCCACCCTTTGCTTATTTTGGCAGGTCTCCAGTGGGCTTCTTGCTTGAGGAAAAGGGCTGTGAAATTGTTTTTTTTTTTTCTTTTTTGGCAGGGAGGGGTGTGTTTTAACTTCATTTATTCATTCACCAACACTGAGTGAGCACCTACTTTGGGCCAGGAACGGTGCCAGTAGTTGGGCCATCCGTGAAACAGTCACAGTCTATGGGGAAGACAAATGATTCGACAAGCATTACAGTGCAGTCCTGGCAGAGGGCCTGGAGCACAGGAGGGGCACCAGCACTGTTAAGTGCGTGGATGGAGGTGAGAAACGTCCGGGTTGGGGAAATACCAGGCACTCTGTGGGTGTCCGTGTTTGTGCATGAGCCTGTGTTTGTACGTGAGCGTGCATGGCCTGAGGCAGGGTGAGGGTGGCTCATGGGAGCTTTCCTTTGGAAGAGATGAATGAAATTTAACGTGAAGAATGTGTAGGACTTAACCAGACAGGGGGGATGGTAAGGGATCAAGTCCCTGGCAGAGAGAACAGCAGCAAAGGTCTGGGAATGAGGGAGCATGGATGTTTGCGGAAAAAGTAGGACAGAAGCAGTCTCCCGTGCGCGCGTGCGCGCGCGCGCGCGTGTGTGTGTGTGGTGGAAAGAAGGAAGTTGTGTGAGATGAGCACATAATAGGTGTTCAGTTAATGTTTACTGAAAACACTGATGGATGAAAAGGATCCTTCACCTCCTTAAATGTTCTAGTCAGGATCTCTCTCTTCTCCAATCGAGTGCCCCCTAACTCTCCAAGGGGGTATAACCTTGGTATTGACACTGAGTTCATAATGTCCTTTCTTCCTTGGTGGACTCTCATCTCCCAAATAACATCCTAGTTGAGCTGGCCCCACGTGGCATGTGTGGTACCATTCTCTCCTCTAGTGGTTTAGTTTGAGGGCTTCCCAAGGCAGCAGCCAGATTGAAGAAAGTGCTCTAGGACCCACGTGTGGTCTGGGAAGAAAACCTGGACCCCTCCCCACCTCCTCCTGTCTCGCGCTGTGCGGCTCAGTTTTGGCTCTGGGAGTCACGGTGTCCCCAAAACAGCCAAGGGCATCTGTGAGAACCCTGCTCAAGTACACACTGTCCTGGCAGGTCCACACATGTTGCGTGTCTGGCCAACACACACATACCCAGGCTTCATGTTCGGAAAACAAGACCGTGTGTGAAACTGCAAAAAAAGCTGACGCTTGCATAGAAATTATGTCAGAGCTCCAAGTCTTAACCCTCCCTTTCCAGGGGGAGTTGAAGAGTTTAAACCAACAGCTCGCTGAGGGCTTCGTGCCCTGTCGGAGGTCATACGCATCCCCGCCCTTTTCAGCTCACCCTTCAGCAGCCCCTTGTGAACCTAATGTCCCTTTCACGTTCCAGCTGGCATGAGGAAAATGGTGGTGCGGTCAAACAGAGTTGAGCTGGGAGTTCCCTCCCTGGGTTCCGCAGGGCACACCCCCCCAGCCCAAGCACTGCTTCCCTGCCCCCCCATCTTCCTCCCTGCTCACTCCAGTGCCCCTGGATGGGACTCCTCTGTGAATGAGCAAATCACCCCCAGACAAACGGCCTCCGTTTGCTCTCTGCCCAGCGCTGCATCGGCACTTTGCCAAATATTCCTTTGGGTTTTGCGGCCTTCGCTTTGGCCCTTCTCACGGGGCTGCTTCCAAACCCAAAGGCAGGGGGTAGCCCCCGGGGACTGAGGATGACGTGGGGCCCAGGTAGGGCTTCAGGGGCAACGTGGCTCTTTCTCACCACTCCTGAAAGAGAGGGCATCGGGCGGAGTTTACGGGCTTCCCATGCTGGGGCCCGGCTTAGTGGAAACCTGCACACCCAGGCCTTTCCTCCAGGCTGCCTGCCAGCCTGCAGACTCCAGGCAGGTCCCTGTTGGAGCTCAGGGTCCCGAATGCTCGAGAGGCAGGAGCTGTCTCTTAACTCCTTGAAGCACTGAGGTCCTGGTGGGTGGGCTGGGAGAACTGCTGGGGAGATTCCTGCCTGGGGCTGCCAACGTGTCCTGGCGGGCGCACAGGACGCCCAGGACCCAAGCCTTCTCAGAAGGTTGCCAGGTGTGGGGAGCCCTGTCCAGCCCAGTCTTCTCTTCAAATAGCTTCCCAGGGACCAATGCTGCAGCCTTTGGAGGTTAATCTTGTCAGTCATGCACTCATCCTCCAAGATTCCCTCTGTACTAGATTAACCACGTCTTTTATTTTCTGTGTTCTGAGGCTTTAACCTCTGGGGCCTTGCTGGTCCTGGAGGGGCTGCCCCTCCCCAGGCTGGCCAACTCCTAGAGACAGCAAACAGATGGAGGCGGTCTGGGGACACTGAGCCTCGGTATGGAAGTGGGGTGGGGGCACCCCTCTTTCACTCATGGATCAGGCTCTACGTTGGGATCTGGAGTTGCGTGCTCTTCTAGCCCAAAGAGCTGTGAACACAATGGGTCACTGGAGGTGTGAAACAGGTGTCTCCACGTCTCTGGCATGATGAAATGTCAAGCCCGCCATCATCTGACGTGGTCTAGTTAGAAGAGTCAGATGTTTGGGATCTAGCTTGGTCCTGCCGCCAGCCTCCTTCATGATTGGGGGCAAGTCATTACTCCTTTCTGGCCTTAGTTTTCTAAGCTATACAGTGAGAAGTCTGGACCAGATCATCCCTGAGACCTTTCCAGATCTAGCCTTCTGGCAGCCTGTCCCTTTCTGTATTTCTCTGTTTCCTAGGGAAGCCTCAAGCATGCTGGGAATGTGTCAGGGATAAGAGGGTAGATCCAACACCATCTGGCCCATCTCTGTCTCCATCTCAGCCTCGTCAATCCCCAGAAGTTCAAAGCAGTAATTCATATGAAAAATAATGGCCGTAATAGCATCTCCTGGACTATAATTATGAATACAATAACGTTTCAGAAAATATTGACTGAAAAGAGTAAGATGGAGCCAGTAGAATGAACTAAAAAATTTATAACAACATAGCAGACATTCTGCTCTTATGATAGAGAACTTTTTTAACATCACAAAAATCCATAGTGGAAAAAAATTAAATTACATGGGTCTGCACAGAGGAATAAAGTGAAATGTTCAGCTTGATCATCTTAGCAACCAGGATGGAATTATCTGCATGCAGTGACTAACGTTTATCAGGTGCCAGCCTAGTTGCAGGTTACAAATCTGCGTGGCAAGTCTTATCATCAGCATTTCTAGCCAGGGAAGGGAGGATCAGACACGTTAAACGACTTGATCATGGTTGTAGAGCTAATAGATGGCGGTGTTTTGTTTCCAATTCACAGATGTCTGAGTCTGGATCCAGAATTTCTTCCCCCTCTCACCCTACCTCTTATCAGACCTCAAAGTGAACACGGCAGAAAACAGGAGCCCTTTTGCACCATATCTTAAGCTCAGAAGCCAGTATGTTTATACACTCATGACATCACCTTCTGACAAGAAATGATTATACTGTAATTATAAAAATCATTGTGAGGCCCAGGTGTTTGGGGCCATGATTCTGCACTCTTCTCTGGCAGTCGAATGTCCCAGTGCCTAACACAGACCTTATCACACTGCAAAACACAGACACAGCCGTGTTTCCTGCAGATCAAGGGGACCGGTGGTTACTCACATTGACAGATTCTTTCCCATTAAACTTGACTCGGATCCTTGGCTCCTGAATGACATCCAGGTTGAAGCCTGTGACGGTCAGGGGTGTGTGGCCACTGGGAACAAGCAGAGTCTGGGTTAGGTGAAAAACCCTCTCAAACTGCTACCACTTGTCCCCCTAGGATCCTCACAGGAGCTGCACTTTGGCAGAAGGGATTAGGTTGCACGGCAGCTGGGTGTATCCCTGCCCGCTCCGCCTCACCTGGCGATACTCCACTCGGGCTCAATGCGCTGCACCCGGGGGTCATCTATGTACTCGAACTGCAGGTTGTTGTCTACACGGGCTCGGTCGACACTCACAGAGACAGGGACGGGCCCCAGCCCATTGGATGACGGGGGTGAGACACACACGATCTCATTCATTGATCGCCTACAGGGAGACCGCAGGAGGGTTGTGAGCAAAGGCATGGGCAAGAGGCGCAGCCTCTGGCCTGAGAAGGGGTTTTCCCCAGTTGGGGGGTATGGCCCAGGAATGTTCTTCTGTCCTTTTATACTCTAGACTGGGGAACATCCCTTAGCAGTGTGTATCAGTGCTTCTTTATACCTGAGATCCCACTCCGGTTGGATTAGGGAGCCAATTGGAGAAGGGGATTCGAGAAGGTGGGGCAGGGGCAGGGGTCCTTGGCCTTTGGGGGAACTCTTCTTTTCTGGGTTTTTCTAGGCCATGACTATTTAGCCAGTGCTTAGTGTCTGGTCAGTCAGTTAATAAATTGAGCACCTGCTATGCAGAGAAGCAAGTACACAGTCCTTGCCCCTCAGGCAGCTTATGGTCCAGGGAGGAAATTTACTGGGCAAGTCGGGTTCTCATCCAGGGATCCTTTCAGAATTCTCTCTAGATTCTCTACATCCCCAGGGCTTCATCAGAACATCTGACAAATAGTAGGTGTTCAATTTTTAGCACATAAGAGATGCCCTGAGGATGAGTCTGTGCTTGCAAAGGACAGAGGCCGTGCAATCTCCATGTTTCTCAAGTCGCCATGGTGGGGACATAATGAATGCTTGAACCGGGTTGTGACTGAGAGCTCCTGGGAACCTCCCTCATCAGCAGTTCTTATGGTCCTCTCACTTCTAAATATCTGTAGAAGTATTTAGCCCCTATGATAGCCCTCGCGATACAAATTGACTAGTGGTATATATTTCTTTCAGTGACTGGAATGGTGTTTGGGCCCAGGACATGACACATAACGCGGAGATGATGGGGCAGGCACATATGTGAACATGCACAGGAACATGGGTGCACAGGCCTCACGTGTACAGTCTCCTAGGGCTCCTTCGAGCCCATCTCACCCATAGAACTCGCAGGTCTGGTTGCCCAGGTAAACAGCCACGCTGCTCCCAGCCCCGAGGTAATGGCCCGTGATGGTCACCATGGTGCCTCCGGACTCTGGCCCTCGGATGGGGTTGAGTGACAACACGGAAGGGTTCTTTGGGAGGAAGCAGAGAAATGATCACAGCTCAGGTTTTACCCAAAGGGAGAAACCCAGGCTAGACTTAAAGACAGAATGAGGGACTGTGTCCACGCTCAGAGTGAACCCTTTCTAATCCCAAACACTCTTTGCCTACCCTGGAGCTGAGACCCTTTCCAAGAAGAGGCTCCAGGCATATCCAGGGAAGGCAGAAGGGCCGTGTTTTGCAATTAACTAACTCCCCTGGGAGTCTTATGCTCATAACACTGTTGGGAAGGCAGAGATGACACTGACTAATCTATCAATTAGTTTGCAAATTGAGAACAATTTGAAAATGCTTCTCTATCTGGAGCGCATACTGATTTTTTTGGCACAAAATCAATAGGGCTGAATAAAGGATCCCTGCCTGGATTGGGCAACCAAGAGGATCCATTAATGGCCCAGGCTCATGTCCTTCCGTCCCTCCCTAAGCAAGAGAAGGGCACAACAGGTGCAGAGACCTGTCAGTAAATGTTAGATGTGTCTTCCCTGACCTTCACCAGGAGGATGGCCCATTGTTGGCTGGGATTTTCTAGTAAGCTCACTAAATTGTAAAATTAAGCCTGAAGCCTAAAAGAAATGTCATCTGGCCTAAAATGCATCAGAAAAAGTTGCTCCTGCCTAGCGGGCAGCAGAGTGGAGTGGAAAGTGCGTTTAACTGAGCACCTACACAGGCATGAACTCTAGTCTGCATTAGCCACTCACTAGTGATGGGCCCTGAAGCAAGTTTCTGGATCACTCTGGGCTTTTGTTCCCTCCTCTGTCAAGACAGGAGAGTGGGCTACATGATCTCTAAATCCCTCTCAGCTCTGACACTCTACAGCTCTCTCCATCCACTCTTTCTGGGTTTGCTTCTCACACGAGACCCTGTCTGTCCTGCACAGGAGATGGGGTAGGTGGGCTGCAGATATAGGCCATGGTACCCTCCCATCTGAGAGAAGACTGGTACAAGGAAAGGTGGAGATGCTGAGATAAGAAGGCAGAGACTGGAAAACCTAAAACAAGAAGTAAAGTGCTTTAGAGAGAAGAGAATTTTGTGGTCAAGTAAATTTTCAAGACTCTGAGCAAGGCTGGTTTGACCCCCTCCGCTGGTGTTAACACTTTTCGATGAAGAACTTGATGTGGCAACGTTGGCTACTAGGTGTCAGAAAAGGGACTTTGGAGCCCCAGAAGCAGGTAGTTCAGCACGAGAAAATAAAGTCTTTGTGAGTCCACCATCTGTTGCTTGGGTGGGAAGAAGTGTTTCCAGGGCTGAGTGTGTGCATATGTGTGTGTAACCACACCAACACACAGAGTAGCTCACTCGTACATCCCACTCCCATGGTCCTGCACACAGACATGCGTTCCTGCAGGATTCCAAATGGCTCCTCTAAACTCCCACTTACAATATCCTTGGCAGAAAACAAAGCCTGTGGATAAATATAGACCTTTTTAACTGGGTCCCTCAGATGATCTGTCCTCATTAGGCTGGGATTAGACAGAAATATCACATTGGTGGGACAAAGGGCAGCCCCTCCCCACCCTGTGTCTAGGATCCACTTTCTAAGAAAGGCCTGATTTTGCTTATTTAGAACTCTGACCTGTGGTTCTCTGGGATGCCAAAGTCTCCAAAGTGTTGTTGGTCATGCACTTGGCCCACCCAGGAAAGACAGGTTTTCCTGGGTGTCTTTTCTGGTCTCCTACTCCATCTGCGTGAAGCCTGGAGGTGCCGGCTTGGGAGAGGGGTGGGTGGGACTTTCCTGGGAGAAGCCTGGAGCAGAAATGTGCCCTTGCTAGAAGCCTGTAGCTCAGCACTAGACCCAATACTCACCACAAACGTGTACTGTTGATGGGATTTGGTCATGAACTCTGGCTTACACTCGCCAATGCACAGGCGCACAGGCCCAGAGGTGGTCCCCACAAGGGCATGGCCCATTTCACAAACGATCCTGAGGAGAGAGCAAACCTTTCCATGAGAGACTTGGGGAGAGCTGCATCCCTGCCCCAGCTTGCTCACCCTGTCATAGTCACAGTGAATGACTCATCACAGTCTTACAATAGTGCTGGACCAAGACTCAGCTTGCTCAACCATGTGGCTGTGTGACCTTGGGTAAAGCACTTTCCCTCTCTGGACTTTAGTCTCTCATTGGTACAGTGAGAGGTTGGATGAGCTCAACTCTAAAGCCCTCGAAACGCTATGCTGCCTATTTCTATGAGCAAGCCTGTAGTCCCCGGTGCTTGGTGCAGGGCTTGGCATTGGGTATCAACCCAATATTTGTGGAATAAACCTAATGTTCAACAGAGAGATCTAGGGGCAGTAATTTAGTGCTCTTTCCTGTGTGACAAGCCAACACTGCAACACTCCCGAGAAGAGGGATTGAGGACTGATTTGCCAAGCTGATTCAATGGTGGTTTGTTTCCTGCAGTGAGGGAACAGATAATCTGGTGAGATAGTGAGTTGCCCAAACCGGAGCTCCCAGCTGAATGGGAGGAGGGGCATCCAGTGGCAGCAGGCGAGGGGGTGGGAGGTGGATGAGTTCATTAGGACAGCAATCGACACTGGACTCCCACTTAATCACGGGCTGAGCTCACGGAGCTGGTGGGCGAGGCGGTGAACCAGCCCTGGGGCTGGAAGTCATGTCTCACATCAACAGGAGAGCTGGAGAACGGTGGCGGTGGGAGGGGGGTAGGCAGGGGGGAGGCACTCTCTCTCGTGATGTGCAGCTTGATACCCCCAGTGAGGGCTTCCCTGGTACCTGAGATAAGTTACAACAAGCACATTTACAGATGGGTTGTCTTAGCCACAGCAGACTCTAGAAAGAGTGGGCAGCTGGAGGATATGGGTGGGACTGAAGAAATCAGATTCCTGGGGGGATCTCTTGCCTGGAATTTTAAGGCATGGGATGGGTGGGAAAGGGCTCCACCAGGCTCAGCAAAAAGGAACCCAGGGGACCAATGGAAGGCTTTTCTTTCCTTCCCAATGCCATTTAAGAGTTCAGTCTGAGCAGTCTGGTGCCCTTGGTAGGTTGGTTTAGTGGGGAGTCAGAAAAACAGACCCCTCTCCACTAATCCCCAGCATTATCCAGGCACGGTGGGGAAGATCCATGTTCAATGGAGGATGCTTATCTCAACAACTTCTCTAGGAAGGAAGGTAACTAAACAGAGATTTCATTTTGATGTAATAAAACTTGCATTAAACAAATACATGGCGTGCTCACACACACGGCATGCCACCGATCTCCAGCTCCTTCCTAACAGTTAATCCCAAATAAGTACTTTCACTCCCGGTGAATATTTACTTAACATACAATGACTGTCTTATTACATTTAGCACATTAGGTTTGACAAGAAAGTACTGAGTCCATGTCAAAGGACATTCTCCTTTCCCTTTCTCTGTGAATAAATTAATTATGAACCCACAGTAAAGATGATAGTGATGATCAATTAGTATTTTACATGTAAGCGTCTCCTTAAACCTCATTAGCGGAGCATTTGAGAAGCTTAATTTAAGGTACTACGTGGGGTTATTTCCATGCTGCTACCTGCTTGGAGTAACAACTCTCCCATCCTGCTTCCTGGGCCCCAGCACCTGTTCCCGTTTGGGGTCCCTGTCATCCTGTCACATTGCTCCGGGCTCTCAAGGAGCACCAGAGGATTATCGACTCTCTACTGGGGGTATGGGGGTGTGAAGAAAAGGAGGCAGCAGATAAGTGTCTTTCTCTCTCTTCTAATCAGTGCTTTCTTGTCCCTCACTCACCCCCCTTGGCCACTGTGCTGGAGCCACCCTCGACAAGAAAAGCAAGAGCAAATCATGGCAGGCTTGAAGTCACGGAAAGAGGAAACATGAGAACACGTAAAGGTCACAGGCATATTTGCTCCTCCTGGGGCCTGTCTAGGAGAGGAGAAGGCTAGAATGGCCTGTTCAGCTGTCTGCGGTGTCTTGGCACACTATCTTTTCTAGAACATTTTCTTGCTCAGGGTTTGTGGCCCAAAAGATGAGCTTTGCATGTCAAGCACGTGGGAGAAGAGGGTGGATGGGAGATGGCACTGCCCAAGTGTCCAAGGCTGAATGCCTGCAGTTGGCTCTCAGTGTCCCACCTGGAAGGGTATGATGCAGGGGCCGAGGAGCTAGGCTGCAGGGAGGGCCTAGAGCTGGACCACGGGTTCCGTTCCTTGGCACTGCAGCTGACTCCTTTCCCTGCTGGTGGAATGCGGTCCTACTTCATCCAGTGAGTGGGAGAGGACTGTAGAATGGTCTGGGTTGCTAAGTCTAAGAGCTGGGTGAGAGTCCTGAGGACGCAGACCACGTTGTGGAAGGACTCTAATGACCTCTAACTCTTGTTCCTTTTTATTCCTGGGACCCAGTGCTCGCAGCGAAGGATGGAGAGGCCTCCTCGAGTGTATTTGTTATTTGCATTTGTTCTCTGAGCTCAAGGAGATAGAGGCTTAAAGGAAGAAGCAAGGGCAGCTATAGGCAGCGGAGAGGGTTATTTTGAAGAATGAGGGTCAGGCCAAAGCAGATTCTGTACCTCAACAATAACAAGAGCTACAATTTGTTGAGCTGTGTGTGGCAGGCAGTGGCCCAGGTAGGGTCTCGTGTCATCCTCAGGCATCCTACAGGGTGGGTCTTACTTCTCCATTTTTATAGACAAGGAAGCCAAGGCTCAGAGGTGTTAAGTGACTCATCTGTGGCCATAGTGCTGGGAAGTGGCAGAGCCACGATTCGAATCCAGGTCAGCCTGGCTGCAAAGCTCACCTTTGACCGTTCCACTCTACTGCCCCTAGAATCAGTGGCATCTTCTCTGTGTCTTTTGTGGAAGGGACAGGATGGACATAGTGGCTGTGCTGGGGTGGAGGTGACGTGGCTGTGGGGGGGCTGGGGCTGGAGAAGGGGGAAGTGGGGTAGACCTGGCTGGGTTCCTAAGGCTCTGAGGAAACTGTGCCCCCTCCCTCCCTGGTTGGAGATGACCACAGGCAGCGGTGTGGCCACCACTTCCTCCTTCAGGCCTTACAGGTTAGCAAAGTTCCTGTGGTTTGACTTCTGGGGGCCTCCTGCCTCTTCTCGGTGTCCCTGGTAGCTTTAGGCTCCCTGTGTATTATCAGGAGACAACAGCTGGGGATGCCTAAAGTTTCTCCTTGTAAAATGAGAAGCTAGACTAAATAACTCTCTAATAGTTATTTAGCTTCAACATTGGGAGGCTTGACTCCTCCTGATGGACAGGAGCTTCTGGATTCACATTAGTGCCACCGATAAGCTTTCTAATGGCGGGAGTGGCAGGTTCCATAGGGCATAGAAGTTATTGCTTCTGACATCCTAGGGCCACAGAAGTGATTGCAGAGGTCCATTTCTACATACCCATTTCCAGATGAGACATTTGAGGATCAGGGAGCAAAGAGACTTGCCCAAAATCACATAGCTCATCAATAGCTGATCTCCTGGCACCAAGCCCGGTGCCCTCGCCTCACACCGCACCACCTCTCATAGATTGGCTAAGATGGTGCCTTTCCCCCCGTGAGTGTGCATCCTTGGGGTGGGGAGCACAAGCATGTAACATCCGTCAAGACATGACTGACTTCGTAGGTGCAGCAGATGAGAGGGAGGGGGTCTGAGGACCCAAGCTGAGTCCATCTCATACAGAGCCCCTGTCCCAGGCAGGGCTGAGCTGCAGCCTCAACCTGCATCTCATCGTCCAGGAAACGTCCTGTGATGGAATCATCCGGCCCTCCACAGACCTGTGGGGCACTGATTGCAAGAGACTAAGCGGGGCCCTTTAGCCAAACATTAACCTAATTGCTGAGTGATAGATGGCACGGCACAAGCATATGGTGAGTCATTACTGTGCCCGCTAATCCTGCCCGTGCCTGGGACACTGCACTGGGTCCATTTAGCCAAATTCATCTCTCACAGATATCTATAATGATTGTGCCTCTTGCTCACTGCCCAGGATGGAGGCTTTAATGATGTTAACAAACTCTCAATAATGAGCCTGACATGGCTGGAAACCAGGGCTGCATGCAGGCAAGGTGAGGAATGTGCCTGCTGCCTCCTGCCTGCCCCGCGCCTGAGGAGATGACGGGGCTGGTTTTCTAGGGTGATCATTGGCCCTGGTAGGGACCCCTGGCAACCATTCACCTCCCCAGGCTCCTTTTGTATCCTCACTTCCAGTTTTTCTTGGAACTTTCTTCCCTAGGGCCCTGGGTGAGAGTGATGCATTTGATTTCAAAGATATTGAATAGAACAATATTTCCTTACGTTCCTATGGCACGTTACGGTCTTCACGTTTTCATCTCACTGAATTCTCTCCCCAAACCCATGCAGTAGGAATCATGATTTCCATTGGGCCAATGAAGATTAGAGAGACCAAACAGTTTGCTAAGGTCTCAGGGCTGGCAGGTAGAGGAGGCAGGATTTAGAAGACCCTTGGATCCCAATTCTCATGCGATTTCCACATCCAGCTGCCCAAGAATTTACACTTCTCTGTTCAAAGCCTTACCCTTCAGCCCCCTGCGAACCCTTTCCTTTGCAGTCCTGTGGCATCTCACCAAGTTGGAGACTTGACCTGTGTCCAGTGGCCCAAGGCAGCTCCTTGAGGCCAAGGTGGGTCTGGGGTCAGTGTGACTGAGAGTCTAGCTGGGTGTGGCAGGGTGCTGGGCTCTGTAAAGCCATCTGATCTTGGCGAGCCCGACAGCTCTCCCCTTCTCTTCTGGCTCAAAAGCGCTACTTATATCATTTTCCCCTTTCCTCTTCTTAGTGTCTTTCCTGTAGACCCAGACAGTCTTCCCTCCATGATTCACTCCTTGAAGGGACAAGGCTGTCCGTGAAGGGTCAGGTCTGCAGGATCTGAATGTCTGCAGGGTCAGGCAGCTCCTTCTCCCCTGCTGGGTGGCCCCAAAGTCGGGGAACTCACGCCTCTGACTCCGACCCTGCCCAGGCCACACTGGAATCATGGCCGCTGACCCAGAAGGCCACAGGCTGATGGATAATGGAATTTGCAGGCCACTCTTACCCAGAAGTCCTGCCCCATGGCTGTTAGGGAACGGAAAGAGGCCTGAACCAAAAGTTAGGAGACTTGAGTTCCAACTCTGCCATGGCCACTTATGCACTGAGTGAGCAGGGGAAGTCATTTCACTCCCCAAGTCTTTTACTCTCTCCTACTTTGTAAAACGGTGATAGCAATGTCTACCTCTTAGAGTCCTTACCAATTAAAAGCAAGAGAATGGATGAGAAAGAGTAAGTGCTGATGAAAGGTAAAGTGTCATTTTTACGGTTGCCAGTGCCACTTTTCTGGTTGTTACTAAAGGCTGGCTCTGGGGAGGCTGCGAGGGGTGGAGCTGAAGGAGAGGAGCCCTGTTCACGGGCACGCTCCCAGTACCCCCTGCAGAGCTGTGTGCCCAGTGGAACCAGGGTGACTTGACCCAACTTTACACGATAAGTCATGCAGAAGGATCTGGCTGCCCTCCTCCCTTTCTCCATAGGAGGGGAAGCATCACTCCTTCTACCCTCCCACCCCCAGCATCCCCCTAGCTTCATGCCCACCTCCTGCCCACCAACTTCACAGCAGCCGCCACTGCCAAATGAACACCCCAAATTGGAACATATGTCACTTCTGGAGCCCCGTTCGCCTGTCCACCGCTACATGCCTATTTTCTAATTTCCAACTGACATTTCCCTTAGTGAAATAAATGAATTTGCTCTGGCGGAGGCCCTGCTCAGATTAAGCTGCTGTCAGAGCCCCTTGAGCCAAACAAATTGTTGCCTGCAGCCCACCGAGCGGGATGCATTCCAATGGGGGCTATGTGGGGAGGGGCGGGGGGAAGCAAGGAGGAGCAGAATGGACTGGCTGGGAAAGTGGCTCAGTTAGCCAGTGGGCAGGAGAAGACCAACTGCGTGAGAGCATTGCACCGGGAGCCCTGATGCCAGAGGAGCCAGGGAATCGGGAATCAAACCAAACAGGATATTCTAAGAGTGGAGGTGGGCTAGGAGAGGGCCCTGGGAAGGCTTCAGGGAGTGGGGTCCATGGGAGGAGGGACATAGGAGATGGATCCTGGAGAAGTCCCAGAGGAGGGAGAGGGGAGAGCCCCCCCACAAGCTCCGGGGTGGGGAAGAGGGTGGGCCAGAGCGGACTGGACTCACTGCTCAGCGATGATATAATCCCCCGGCAGGGGCGTGCAGGGCACCCCAGCCACCTGCACGTGGTGGGAGATCTCAGAGAAGTCCAGGCCCAGGTTCACGCCATGGATAGTCACTCGGGTCCCTCCTTCAGGGGGTCCGGACACCGTCAAAATCTGCGGGAGGGAAATGGGATGAGCAAAGCTGGTCGGTCACAGGAGTAGGGGCAGTGGCACCCATTTCCCTCCCCATGGGAAGGCTTTGGGACACCTGGAATCTGGGGGAACTGGGTGTGTTTTCTCCACTTTTCAACTTATCTAGGATCCCGACATTGTCATGGTGTACCTATTTCAACGGTTCTTAGGACATCCATCCAATGATTCATTCATTCATCCACTTATGAAAAAGAAATTATCAGAGAGTACTGGCTCAAGGCAGTACTTTTTTTTTTTTTTTTTTTTTTTGTGGTACGTGGGCCTCTCACTGTTGTGGCCTCTCCCATTGCAGAACACAGGCTCCGGACGCGCAGGCTCAGCGGCCATGGCTCATGGGTGCAGCCGCTCCACGGCACGTGGGATCTTCCCGGACCGGGGCACGAACCCGCGTCCCCTGCATAGGCAGGCAGACTCTCAACCACTGCGCCACCAGGGAAGCCCTCAAGGCAGTACTTTAATTCACTAGCCTGATTGTGATCAAGTCACAGAATCTCTCTGAACCTCATTTCTTCTTAGTTGGTAGGAAGGATAATCATCTCTAACCAACCTCTCCCTGGAAGCTCCCGAATGGAGGGTGTCTGGGAGCATTCTGTAAACTTGAAAGGGCTTTGTCATTGTGACCACGCTATGATTTGCCACTCCTGGGTGCTAGCCTCTGTAGAGTTTACAATGATGAATAGAACAGAAAATCTGCCCTCAAGGAACTTAGTGGTCAAGGAGGAGGAGATAAGGGAGCCATAAATAATGCTGATGCAGGGTACACAGTGATAAGGTAGATTTGAAGGAAGAGCTGTGGGAGCTCAGAGGAGTCCCAGATTAGGGACTGCTGTGGGGGATGACCAAAGATGGAAAGTATTTTTGACATTGTTCTGCAAAAAAAAATCCTGTGACACGTGCTAGTACCAAAGAGTAGCTTTCTGAGTTTCCAAATTTTGCTGGCTTCCCAGCAGCAAGGATCGTTTATTTATTCATTTCTTAATTCAGTCACCAAATGCTGACTGCCTGATTTTGTTTTGACCCAACAGGAACAGGAACTGCAGAATCAGGCAGCTCTAAGGTATACATTTCTGTCTGGGAATGGATCAGGCTCCAGGAAAAATGCAGCTCTTCAGGATCCAACAGATCCCAGGGAATAAGCTCCTACTTCGAGGTTCATAGTTATCCAAAGTAGGAGGGAATTAGACATGAACCCAACTGTAGGCAGAAGCATGGAATTTCAGAACTGGAAGGAGATGCGGGGTGTCTTATTCTAAGATCATCATACAACATGTATACAAGGTTTTAAAAAAGTCCAGGACTCTTTTCACTACACCGTTAGAAGGGCAAGACAAGAAGGGAGGGAGAGAGGCAAGGAGGGCTGGCTGGTCAAGGCCAAGAGTCTACCAGAATCTTCCAGATGCAGCCTCTGGGCAGAGATTGGAGGTGAGTACAGGCAAAAATGCTATCGAAGGCTCTGGAGACGCTTCCCCGCTCCTGTCTCCAGCAAAGGGGCACTGCTCTCTTCCAGTAATGTAAGCACCATGAATGCGGCTGCCAACTTGGCCACGAATGCCCAGATGATAGCAGACACAGAAAAGATGATGGAGGGGATGAGGCCCCGGGACAGGCCTCCTCCCTCACTGCCCACTGACTCCTGGGCTCTTGTGCATTGGCTGCACAGCCAGGTCAGACTCCACTCAGACCTCCTGATCTCCCACCCTCTTCTGCAGACCTTAGATGGTGCAAGCCTCCTTCCCTCCTTCCGGCCCAGGCTGGGAACTGTCTTATCCGGGGGCCCATTTCACCCAAGTCACCTTGTCTGTGGCTCTGACTCTCTTCTCTGGGAAGAAAATATTCCACCTTATGAACCAAAATAAACAAGATTCATGAGATGAATCAAGGGAGGGAACAGCGGTTCTCAGTGGCATCTTTGTGCACTGGGCCTTGGCGGGTCGGGGGAGGCAGGACAATTTGGAGAGAAAGGAGCTGGCATGAGGAACTGGTAGCCCCATAGCTTTTCTGTCCCTGAGGGTTCTAAAAACAACTGACACTAGATCTTGGCTGTTACACTCTCCCCTGGTGCCACTTCCTCACGTCCCCAGGCCTCTTGGGCTCTGGGAGATGGATATTCGTAATGAGGAACAGGAAAGGGGTGGCCTCCATGCCCCTGCAGGAGAGATTCAGGAGGAAGGAAGAAGCTTTGAGCAAATCTAAGTACCTGGTTCTCCTCTGATCACTTGGAATGAACATCACTGGGCCCCCTCCCCTCCTCCAGCCACCTGGATGCCAGGAACCCACCTACTGAAAACCCTGACAGAACTGTGGTGATCAGCTTGCTCTCTTTCCTCCACTTTTATTTATTTATTTATTTATTTTTATTTTTTGCAGTACGCGGGCCTCTCACTGTTGTGGCCTCTCCCATTGCGGAGCACAGGCTCGGGACGAGCAGGCTCAGCGGCCGTGGCTCACGGGCCCAGCCGCTCCGCGGCACGTGGGATCTTCCCAGACCGGGGCACGAACCTGCGTCCCCTGCATCGGCAGGCGGACTCTCAACCACTGCGCCACCCTCCACTTTTTTTTTTAAAATACATTCTCTTGCTCACTGCGGTTAATTACAAGTTTTAAGAAAAACTGAAATGAGATCTTTCTGGAAAGTCTAAAAATACTTCCGTCTTGCAGGTAGCATGCGGGGATTGTATTGGGGATATTCAGTGGAGTTGGCAGGCCCATGGGACAGCCTCCTCCTGCTGGGAAGTCTCTGCAGTGTCCCCTTCTGATATTCGAGGGTCTGTGGCAGAGACATGGCCATGGCACTTGGGGGGCTGTAGGGTTCATTTGTTAGCACAGAGCTGCCCAGAAGCATAAACCAGCTTATACTGTTTAGAGAAGGAAGACTTACAAAAATATTAATATATGCAAGCATTATAACCTTGGCATGAAGACACATGTCAAAGAGATGGGTCCAGCTAACAGCTGGGAGAATTAGCATCCTCATGGGTCACTGGAAAGTGCCTGGGTAATACTGGGTCCATGTGGCTCTTCCCCATACAGCACACACACTGTGCTGTGCCACCAGCACCTGGGGAGGTGGTGAAGGAGTCTGGGGGTCAAAACACTCAGCAGCCACCATGCCCCGGGGCTTACATGGGATGTAGTTTCCTCTTTCTTGCTTAAGACAAAACTGATGTATAAAAGTCTGGATTTCCAAAACATAGACGAGGTGGTGAGCACTTGATTTGCAAGAGGAGTCCCAAGGTCTCCATTACTGATGCCTTCTAAACCTATATCGCTGGCTCAGACCTCTCTCTTGAGCTCCATAGCCGTATATCTAATTGCTACTGGACATCTCGACTTCCACACGTGTGTCCCTCAGGCACCTCAAATTTCACCATGTCTAGAAACGAACTCTTAATTTTCCCTCCTTCCACCCCCAATCTGATTATCCTCCCAGATCCTTTCTCAAGGTTAATGGAACCACCGTGCACCCAGCCAGGAATCTTGCAAGCATCTTCGACTGCTTCCTTTCCCTCTCCTACCATGTATAATAAATATAGGGACCATTGGTTCTTACTCCCAGGTATCTTTTTTTTTTTAAAAGATTTAATTAATTAATTTATTTTTTTGGTTGCATTGGGTCTTTGTTGCTGTGTGTGGGCTTTCTCTAGTTGTGGTGAACAGGGGCTACTATTCGTTGCGGTGTGCAGGCTTTTCATTGTGGTGGCTTCTCTTGTTGTGGAGCATGGGCTCTAGGTGCGTGGGCTTCAGTAGTTGTGGCATGCAGGCTCAGTAGTTGTGGCACGTGGGCTCAGTAGTTGTGGCACACAGGCTCAGTAGTTGTGGCTCATGGGCTCTAGAGCATAGGCTCAGTAGGTGAAGCGAATGGGCTTAGTTTGTGACCAAAGAAACGGAAGAACAGCTTCAGGGCTAACAGCACATTTTGGCTTCTGTACGAAACTTGCTTGCTTGCTTGGGGCGGGAAGAACCGGGTTCCTGATTGGCTGATTTAAAATTAAACAGCTCCCTCCGCCTTGAGGACTTCCTGCACTGTGAAGGGTATAAGAGCCTCGCCCGACTGTTAGTCGGGGTCTCACTCACTTCTCTCTGAGTGGGACCCTGTCCGGACAGTTTGTGTAAGCTTCTATACTTGTATAAATCCTTTGCTAATCTTTCTGCTTGGTGTTGGTGATTCTCGGGTGTCCTTGGTTGGGACACGGGTCGCATTTACCGGGGAACTCGACTCCAGGCGTGTGGCTCCCGGACCGCAGCAAGTTGCTCCACAGCATATGGGATTGAACCCGTGTCCCCTGCATTGGCAGGTGGATTCCTATCCACTGTGCCACGAGGGAAGTCTCCCAGGTGTCTTTTGAATCTGTGCCCCGCTCTGGTTCCAGCGTAGGTGATAAGCAGGGCTGCATCACCTCTCACCCACACTAACTGCAAGGGCCTTTGTCTTCCTCCATGAGATCTGACTTCTTCACATGGCCAGGTGGGCTTCATGAACACGTACCTGCTCTGACTACTAGTCACTCGCTCTAAAGGCCTTCAATGGCTCTGACCGCTGTCCCTAATTCCTGGCCTGGTCCTCCACATTCTGATGTTTGTTACTTCTTTAGCCACATCTGCCGTCTTATACTATATCCACCATGAGCTACCCAGATCCCAGCAGTTCCTACATACACAACACACTTTAAAAATCTGTGCCTTTGCCTGTGACATTTGTTCTCCCCCAGCTTAAAAATCAGAGACAGTCGAGGTGGAGGTCTGGGCTCAGCGTGCAAAGGAACAGAGGGAGGAGTCCTGTGTGACACACCCCCTTCCACCTGAGGGCTTCCAGGTGACTGTGAGGATGAGTATCAGGGTCTACCAAAGCCCTGCCTGTGTGGTGGTAAAATCCAAGGCACACTGCTTTCCTCATTTCTCCCCAGGACCAAGAATTGAGGAGAGGCTCTAGAAGGGAGGCTTGAAGGAAAAGAATTTATCCT